CTAATCGTTTTTACGAGTTTTAGGATCTTATCGCGTCGTTATTTTTCTAAACGATCAAACTTGCTGATACGATAACTTAAAGTTATATTTTTATCAGAAAACAATTCGACTCTTAATAAAATTAAATCGTAAAATAATATAATACTTAATCATAAATGTGGACATATTAATTCTATTATAAATTTACATTTACCTTTCGAATTATTTTTCAAACAAAATTCATTTCAATTATCCAAGATAATAATTGCAATTATAATCGAGGTTATACGCAATTAAACGCGAACACGTTATCAGATAAATCTAAACTCCTCTTACAATTGAGCATACAAAGGACAATAGAAAAGAAGATAAAGAGGGGCTGGTTCGAAAGCACCCTAGGTAAGTGTTAAGTGTAACAACAAACCCTTCTCTCCCTACTCAAAAGTAAAGGTTCACAAGCGTTATACAACGACCCTATTACGAACTGGAGAGGATTGTGTTTTGTAAAGATCATAAACTGAATCGTAAACGTTTGGATAATTAATCGATCGTTACCATATTCGATTAAATTCAATTAAGTCAACAATATCAAATATTATTACTATTGTTCTTTATTACAAGATGAAGCTTTTAAATGTTTACGGATAAAATTGTATAAAAATACAAGAAGAAAAAGACGATGGCACACATACACACACACACACACATAAAATCGTGTTTTTCTTTCCAAAGAAAATATATTCTTCTTCGTGAGCAACGAAGAAGAAAAAGATAAAGAAGAAGAAGATGAAGCAAGGGGTAAGAGAGGAAAAAAAATAATCGAGAATCGATTCGTACAAGAGTGCTGACCAGGATAGGGAAACCGATTTGCGATTGCTACGGAATTGTTTCGGATTGGCATTCGAGTGGCAAACACGTTCGCGGAGAAGATTCAAGGGAATAGGATGGAGGACATATTCCGATAAGAAGGAGGAAGAAGGAAGGAAGAAAGGAGTTTGATAAAAGGAGAGTAAGAGAGAGTAAGAGAGACTAAGAGAAAAAGAGAGAGAGAAGGAGGGTCGTAATCTGTATTATCCCTCGACTATTAGTGTCAAGAGGATCCAGCCTTGCAGAGATTACAATTATTACAGGAAATTACAGGAAATGCGCGCATAGAAACACTCTAGACGGTATTACCTCCCCTTTAATTGCCACTTGAAATTACGTTTCTCTCTCTCTCCCTTTCTCTCTCACTTGAAGAACGCAAGATTGGCCCGGGAGATCTTTGATTTGTGGTTTTACGCGAGTATGTACATTATTTTTGTTGTCCCTTATTCCCAAATCTGTAAATGAACAACACGTTTTTTATCTTATTTACTTTATTGTTTTGTTTTGTTTTGTTTTGTCTTCTTAATCAATGATTCGACATCGATATCTCGAGGATAACGATACTAACGAAGGTAAAAAAAGATGTAGAGAAAGAGGGGAGGGAGGGAGGGAGGGTGGATTTTTTTTTTGGTTGAAAGCAGACGACAACTGTCGAGCTATTAAACTAATTGACCGCGCAGTATGCCGTTGTTACTAGTAGCGTACTAAACTCCCAACTTGGCTACGACGTTTACGCATGCACGAAACTCTCTCTCTCTCTCTCTCTTTCTCTTCTCTTCTCTTTCTATACATATGTCTATCTCCGTTAGGATAGGCAGAGAGAAGGATCGCACCACGTCGATTACGAGGAAAAAGGGACCCTCTCTTCTCGCGCCAAATTTCGTACGCATCGTCGCCTTCGAACGGACCACCGAGGAAATTCGATCTTGTTATGCAAATAAAAACGCCAAGTGGTGACACTTTTTATTTTTTAACCACTAGGATACGGTGTAATCTTGACTTATCTTTAAATACATTCTTACTATAATACATCGGTTATTTTTCTATTAAAATTAATTGAAATTTTATAAGTCGAGTAATCATATGGATCAATGTATCAATGAATTATCCTCATCGTTTATTATTATCATAATTAATTGTGAACATAATACTGAACTAAATAATCAAGAGCTTTTTACAAGTTGGATTTATTATGAATGGGCAGAGTACACTTCGTTATCCAGATCAGGATTTCGATATAAAAGAGAATAAGTTGAATTTCGATTTAATACCAGGCACGCGCCATCATCAAAGTGATTCCAGCCACTATTCGGTAGTCCGTTGAAAAGTTCGCTTAACCACTTCATCTTCTTACAACTAGAAATCGCCAATGTGGTTTTAGGGTGTGCTCGTTACCTAGCTCGTTTCACCGAGAGAAAGAGAAAGAGAGAAAGAGAAAGACAGCATCGTTATTCCACGATCTACGATAAACCTCGCTTAATTTTATCGACGAAGAAGAAGAAGAAGAAGAAAAAGAATAATCGAACAGCACACAGTAACTCTAATAATTGGATCTCGTCATACTAAAGGAAGATAATAAATCGAATTGTGAAAGAATCATTAATGAAATCTAACGATTCCATTCTTATTCTTATTATTATTATTATTATTCTTTTATTCAATTCGATATTATCAATAAGAGAAAAAAAAAAAGATAATAACAAAATTTCAGATAGTTAAGGGTTGCTACAAGATCGTAGTAAAAAGATATAGGTAGTAGGTATCACACTATGGGTAGGGGTGACCATGACGATTAATGAAATAATGCAGTCACGGATTTCTCGTACACTCGACTCGCCACGGCGAGTAATGGGGGAGGAGAAGAAGGGTGGAAGGGAAGGGGAAGAAAAGGGCACGGGGGAGAGAGGGGCGTGCTCCAGCGAACGCGTGGATTCGACCTTATGTTCGCACCATGCTCTCGTCATTGTGTCTCCTGTCTATCGTTTGTGTATCGGAAGTGTGAGATGAGATCGGGAGAAAAGGAAAGCGAGGACCAGTGCCGTATAATTGGCAGGGGTGCGCTACGATATTTATTACATCGAAGGGCGGGAAAAATCATAATGGCCAACTGGGGTATAAACTGCACCAGCCTCTTTTGCGGTTCGTTAAACGGTGTTTCGTTCCGAAGAAGGGTCCCGTTCTGAAGAAAAAGATTTCTTTTTTTTAGGAAACACAATATTTTCCCTATTCTTTATTTTCATTTTCTTTTCTGTTTTTTTTTTTTTTTTTTTTTTTGGCAGTTATAAAATGTTCTTACGAATGAGAAGAAAGAGAAAGAGAGAAAGAGTGGGCTAAAGAAGAGGAAGAAAAAATACTCAGGTATGAAAGATAATATTGGAGAATAAAATGAAAGGAAAATTTTACTTCATTTTGATCTTCATAACGAATAACGTTGAAGCTCAGATTATTTGTTCATTCGCGATTGATTAAAGAATTAGATCAATTAAAACAAAATTTCAAGCGATTTTATTTAATGGTCTTTAGGATTAACCAAGTCAGATTTTGAAAGTTAATTAAAAAGATTTTTAAAAGGAGCGAATGTATTCGCCAAAGAGAGACGCTTTAGATGGTCGAATTTTATCTTTAATAAAACTGTAAGGAAAATTACTACAATAAAAAATAAAAAAAGAGAAAGAAAAGAAAAACAATACAAAACATACCTTCGTCCATATTAATTAACAACGTAAGTATTAATGGTTTTTTGTTCAATATTATTTATAACACAATTAATTATGTACATATAACCGTTTGCACTGTGTTGTCTCAACTGTGCTAATAATTGTAAATTTTTTTTTAAGTGATTTGTCTTTAAAAACACTTGCCACTTCAATAATTTTAAACTCAAATTGTAGACTAAGGTAAAAAAAAAAAAAAATGTGTGAATTACATATTGTAATAGAAATATTCTATTTAAAGATTACAGTTCTAGTTTGATTTTAATATCCCCAAATATCAACAAATTCACATATCTAAACACAAAAGTTAATTAAAATCAATCGAATATAAAACAAAACAAAAAAAAAACGCGAATTAAAGATTTGACAAAAATATTCATAGAAAACTACTAGACTAAATAGATTAAAATTGTCTAACAAAAGACAAAGAGAAAGAGAAAAAATCAAAGAAGAAGAAGAAGAAGAAGAAGAAGAGATACCACCTATACCTAAAGATAAAAATGAAAAACAAAGAAAAAAAATGATAAAAAGAAAATCAAGAGAATTCGCATCCCCGTATATACTAATACAAATATATATATATAGTTGTACACGTATGTATGTATGTATGTATGTAAGTATGTATGTGTACGCGTGGCTCGAGAGTAGTGCGGGCACGATAATAATGTTCGGTAAGTACGTGTTTGTAGTTACCCCTGAGGTGAGCCACCCACGAGAGAGCCAAGAGAACGAAGCTCCGCCTTCGGTCACGTTACCAACCGGCTTGTACATTGGGGTTGGTTGTCACGGGGGTGCCACGTTCGGGGGCGGTTCTTTCCTTTCTCTCCCCGGCCTCGTTTCGCCAGAGATTCGAGAGAGGGAGCACAATTCGTGTTAGATACAAGAAGAGAGAGAGAGAGAGAAAGAGATAGATAGATAGATAGAGAGAGAGAGAGAGAGAGAGAGAGAGAGAAACTTGGGGATGGAAAGCAAGTCTTCCGGAGTACGTAACGCAAAACGGGCTGCGTTTTGTGGCCAGTCGCTCTTACGAATCTCTTCCTCGCTTTTCTTCGCGCGTTTTTAACCAGTTATTTCTCTTCTTACGTTGTCCCTCGTGTAATAAAAATTTAACAATAAGTTGCATTTTTTTATTCTTTAATTTTTTTCTATATCTTTCTTTCATTCTTTCTTTTTTTATAAAGTCCTGTCCTCTCATTGTATATTCTTTTTTTTTTCCTATTTTTTTTTCTTTTTTTTCTTTTCGTAAATAAAAAATCAGTGATCGGAGGAAAAAATAAAAAGAGAGAGAGAGAGAATTAAATTGAAAGGGGAACAATTTTTGGGTGAAGTTTTTTTTTTCTCGTCGGAAAACTCTTTTCTTTTTTTCATTCCTGTTTTTCTTTTCTTTTCTATTTTTTTCCCTTCCTTTTTTTTTTTATTTTTCTTCCATTTTTTCGAGGATTCTCTCTCTCTCTCTCTCTGTCTGTCTTTCTTACTTGGACTGTTGGTGGTGTCATTTCTCTACGCGGGAATCATTGTTTGTTATTATATACAGGTATGTTTGTTATTTTCTATGATTACTTAATGTTTCATTCTTTTTTTAATTAATTTCGATAAAAAAATATTTATAATGATGTTTGTTGGGTGTTTTAATAAAAGAGGTATGTGTGTTGTGTTATTGTCGATGATTACCTAATATTTTATTCTGTAAAAAAAAAAAAAAGAAGAGTATAGTTCTTTAATTAATTAATTTCGATAGAAAATATTTATAATAATTTTAGTGGGATGTTTTAAGGAAAGATTACAATATATGTATATATTTATTGTGACATAATATCTCTTCGTTAATTATATTTTTATCATGATCTCTAATTTAATTAAAGTATCTCGAGTTCGCAGTTAAATTAATTATAAATCAAAGAACATTTGGAATCATCAGTTGTTTTTTTATTGATCACGAAGTGAGTATAGTCTTCTAATGATATCTTCAAATACTTTTTACTCTTGTTTTTTCTTTTCCTTGGAAAAAATGTCGATCTATAATATATAGTGTTTTTGGAACGTGTCGTAAAAAGTGCTTCTTTAAAAAACAGATCGCTGGTAAATAAATTGATAGTCGATTCACGGGTAGAGGGGTAAACTGGTCCCGCGGGACACAAGGGGTCGTTCTCTCTCTCTTTTCATGGGGAGACTTTAGCCAGACGTAGATACGCGACGGTACGTACGCTCGACGAACAAATGCCATAAACTGTTTGGATTAGGATTAACCGATCGAGAGATTCATCCCTCTCCCGGAAAGAAAACTTTACAAATAACTAACATAAGTCTTCTTATCTATTCTCTTGTTTTCTCTCTTTTTCTTTTTCACATATTATTATTTCATTCGATGAGATTCATTACTGTATTAGGTGGACTAGAAAGTAATGTCACTTTCTAACCTTAAATTCAAATGAATAACTTTTTAATAAATTTTTATTTACAAATCAATAATGTAATTATTAATCCTCCTTATCAACAACCTTTTTGAACCTGGTATGTAAATTTTTTATTACCGAACTAATAAAAATCAATCAGTTTTTGATTAAAATATAAAAATATACATGTGTAGAAACGACATTACTTTCCAGTCCTCCTAATAGAATAATCGGTGTTACATTGATAAGACGAAAATATTATTCTTTATTTATTTTTACATATACTGACTTGAGATTAAAACTTGAAATATAAATAATAATTAAGATTTTTTTTTTTTATTGTAAATAATTATAATCTAAATATAATAAAATATAATAATAAATATAATCTCTGTAATAGAAATATTTCAAAATTAATTAAACTATTTTCAAGTATCTAAATTATGTGTGTTTTCCATTTTAAAGCATTAGAATAATAATCTATTCGTTTATCAAGAATTACTCGCAATTACGATAATACTTGGATCGTTTAATTAACATCATTTTGATCTCTCTCTCTCTGTCTCTCTTTTTTTAAAAACCGATAAAAAGGTTTTTAATATATCCACTTGTAAGAAAAAAGGCAAAAAAAAAAAAAATGTAGAGGAAAAACGAAGGGCTTGATAAATAGTCCGATGATTGTTTTCATTCTTTCTTAACGTAGCCAAACATCATAATCGAGATAAGCTTCTCTTCTCAAGAGACTCTTTCGTTCTGGTATGGACGCGTGTGCATTTCGATTATTAAATTGATGACACGAGCGACGACGTATGATCTCTTTAATCCTCTCGAGATATTCCGGTGGCCTGCAGCGTTGTTTAACGCATTCGAGTTGAACGGGGAAGAGAGAAAGAGGGTAGATTTCAAAACGTGAAACGTTCTCTTGTTCACTCGGTATAATAAAATATATATATATTTATATGTATGCGTGAATGAGACGATCGGTGGATTATCTTTCGATTGAGCTATTAAATTCGACTACTTTTGAAGAATTCAATGGCTTTTGAGTATTAACCCTTTTCGATATGTGAAATATCGATTAAAGGTCAAAAGAGAAAAAAGAAAACAAAAGAAAAAAAGAAAAGTCCAAATGAAAAGGAAAAAAAAAATAACAAATTGTCAACAAAATTTCCGAAATAATTTCTTTGAAAAATATCTTAATTATAATTAGTAATTAAATATCTTAACCCTTTCTAGTTTTGATCCTCTCCCCACCTGCCATTCCCTCTTGAAAATTGTCCAAAGGGGGAAAAAATCGTAATTGAAATCATTGATACGTTTTAATAGAGGGATGGGGGCGGGGATGGGGGTCCGATTAATATGCAAAGTGTCAACAGGAACGTTAGTTAACGCTCAAAATGACTTCGCAAAATCGACGATCGACTTTGCGATAGCAATCAGCACTCGACGGGGCAATCAGGTACTCAACGCACGCGTGCAAATTTGTAGATTACATTGCATTTACCGTGGGAAAACGAGCGACGCGCGAGACCTGTAAGAGAGGGATGATGATTATGGTGAAAGAGTATGGGTTGGTAGCTTGGTATACGAGAACAGAAAGAAGAGAGGGAACGAGAGAGGGTACGAGAGAGGGTACAAGAGAGGGAGAAGGAAGATTCTACCATACCCGTTAGTAATATTGCCAGAGAACGAATTAAAATGCGATCGACGTTTTCATCAGGATAATTGCCGGTCGATCTACGACAAAGCCGCTCTTCTACAAAACCTCTTTTTTCTCTCTCTCTCTCTCTCTCTCTCTCTCTCTCTCTCTCTCTTCGTTACAATGGGAATCCCAATGAAATTTTACAACACGTAACCTTCCATTTCCCTTTTGTATTTGATCGTTTTAAACGTTTCATTCGCGCTCAACGCGACTCGTATTACTCTTGGATAACTTTGTGATAATGTATCATCGTAAAAAATTATTGAAAAAAAAAAATTTCATTTCAATTTGCAATTCTTTTTTATTTTATTTTTAATTTCCAATTGTACGAAGAATATATTATAACATCGATAGTGATTATTTATCACTTCATATATGATACACAGGTTTAAATTTGCTTTTTGCTCGTTCATATAATAATACAATTACCGAGAGATCATTAAAAGATTGTACCGATATCATCTTGAACAAAATAATAATATTATATAAAGATAAATACCATTAAAATATAGAAATGACAATTATTAATATTATTATTAACAATGAGAAAAAGAACGAAACAGGGATTTTTGTAAAAACGTTATAACGATTGTCTAAAATAACTAGAATAGATTTTTCATTTGGTTTATATCTTCTTGTTATTTTTTTACACAATATCATTTGTAATTATTATATACCTACTTTATATAATTCTTATGATATTATAAATGTAATAACTTTGAGATTAAGTTGGAAAGCTATCATCGAATTTAAGGAAATCCTTAAGGGTTTATAAATCATGCAAAAGAGGGGAGTGTACAATTACCGAGAGAGAAAGAGAAAGAGAGAGATGAAAAGAGAAAAAGATAGAAAAGACGGCTAGAACTAACAATAAGATGAAGAAAGATGTAGAATGGAAATAGAGTCGTGATGGAAGGACGGAGATTTAACAACGTTACAATGAACGAACGAACGAACGAACGAACGAACGAGAAGCATTTTCCCCGTTCCACTTTGGTCTTGCGTGCGCGCGCACGCGCGTATGGACCTGGTGCCTCCTGCCTGGTGCAAAAAGAGAGAAAGAGAGAGAGAGAGAGAGAGAGAGAGAAGCGGAGGATCGCAGATTGAATTGTAAAATAACCGAGAGAGGGGAACAATGCGCCTCGCTACAACACAGTGTTTGCATTTAAATAATCTGCGAGCCCACGGGTACGCTTATATTCCGCGACTTCGTTTCTATCTCTCTGTACCTATTTCTCTCTCTCTCTCTCTTTTTGTTTTTTTTGCTCTACTATCTCTTTCTTTCTCTCTCTCTCTCTTTGTCAAAGTTGAGAGAGAGAGAGAGAGAGATAGAGGAAAAAAACGCGTTTTCGTTTTCATCTTTTGCAGCATGCGTATATGCATTCGATAGAGAAGAGAATATGTCGCAAACGGCCGAGTTTTCGCTAGCGAAACTAAAATATCTCGCACAAAACGTTACAATTCTTTTTTTTTTTGTTCCTCCCCATTATCATCTCTTTCTATTTGTTAGATTTGTTTTTATGATTTTTTTTTTGTTTTTTTTTCTTCTTTTTTATGTTTGCACTCTTTACTGTCTCTCTTTCTCTTTTTACGTATCAAAATTTAATCGATAAAAATGATGATTATCTTTGAAAGAATTTTCATTTTATTCGTATTCATGCATGATAAATAATATAGTTATACATATAAGTTCGCACATATATAAACTTTATTTTCAAAACAAGAAATTAATAAAAGTTAATACACCGATATCTTCATCGCTCGAATATATATATATATATATATATATATATATATATATATTATTTGTTAAAATTCGATCGTTGACTTACCAGTTGATAATTAGAACGAACATTTATAGATGAATGATCAATCCACGTTTAACGAGCTTTTGATGAATGTCGATAATTACGTTTATGTACACATGCGACATCGTATATCGAGGGATTACCACCGATGACACATGTTAAATCTTATATCTATATAATATGTAATAAAATAGAGAAAGAGTGGGGGGGAGAGAGAGAGAGAAATTGACAGATCAGTGAAAGAAAAAAAAGTGTAGAAAAATTTCAATGAAAAAAAGATAGAATAAATACATACATACATACATACATACATACATACATATAGATAGTTAGATATATCCAGATAAGATATCGAATGGGGAGAAGGATAAAAGCCATGTATCTCGTTCGTGTTCGAACTAATTGTAAGTAGCCAGTAATTAATGCGGTCGATTCGAATCCGATCCATACGACCGCTGATCAGTAGTGGATTGACGAAAGAGAAATAGAGAGAATAGAGAGAGAAATCCCTTCCTATACGAATAAAAGAGATGAGAAAAGGATAGAAGAGCTTCAATTGGGTTCAGATGGTACACCTGACTATACGTATAAGAGTATGGGAGGAGCAGAGGAGAAAGAGACACGGTAGGAGGGATAAAGGGGGTGCACCGGAGCTGGGATGGCCGGGGGTTGTTCCGGGTCGGGCACCGACATTGTTTCACGGTGGATGAGAATTTAATTTGCACGACGAAGAGAGGAGTGGAAGGAGAAACGAGCGAGAGAAAGAGAGAGCTTTGGATGGGTGCTGCCTTGTTTAAGCGCGGGTGGGGGTGTCAAATTGAATTACCCCCGCGTACCAGCATCCCCAGGGACGTTTGCTGGCGTCCACCATCCTCCCTCTCCCTACCTTCCTCTCTCTCTCTCTCTCTCTCTCTCTCTCGCTGCGGCGGATTCACTTTATTCGTGTGCATGCCCCTCTCTCTCTCTCTCTCTTTCTCTGTGCATTGAAGATAGAGGGAGAGAGAGAGAGAGAGAAGAGTCACGCACGCGTATAACGGTTAGCACGACGTGTACCTTCATGGAAGCGTTTTCAATTAAAATCAACACTGAGGGAATATCTTTTCTCTCTCTCTCTCTTTCTCTCTCGTATATCTTTCCTTCCTTCCTTCCTTCCTTCCTTTCTATCTTCCTTCCCTTTTCGTCCTTTATCTCCTTACCTTTTTTCAACGTGGCACTTGCTTCCTCTCACACAAGTTCGTTCATCCAATAGAGAACACTTAATTTCTTAGCCTTGGAAAATTCACAATCCCAATAAAGTCTTCGTCGAGTGTTAAATTAATGGAAGAAGATCTTATTCGTCTAGCAAGGATGGAATCTATGCTATATTCAATATCTTTCTTCTTCTTCTTCATCATCTTCTTCTTCACCGAATTCGAAGGCATCTTCATGAGTTAAGAGGATAAGGATCTCTATTTCTAAACTTCCTATCACCGTTTCCATCTTTCTCACTACTTTTTCTTGGCTTTTATCCACCGTTAAATTCTATTCATAGATACAGAGGAACCTAGTCTTGTTTGGTACACGGAAGTTTAGTAACGAGTTTTCCCTACTTACTTTCAAAGGAACTCGACTTGGTCTCATATTAAATAAGACAAATTACTTTAGACAAGAGATAAATATAAAAGATATTTTTATCAGTGATTACTCGAATAGTTATTACAAAATATGATTTTATATAAGACACATAATTATACTGTAAATAAATTCTCCTAAGAAAAGATTTCGTTTGTAAAGAATCTTTTCCACGAGATTATCAAACGTTATGTTTGGACAAAACTTGTCTAGTAAAATCTAATACTCGTAAGTATAAGGTCATTGAGAAAAAAGGGATCATTTAATCGTTAAGATCTTTTAAAGATAAGTCACGTGACTTGATCGTTCACGAACTTCTTTTTCATAATTCACTAATGACCATTTTTTACGTTTATTTTTTTGTAACAGTCAGTCGTTTGAGAAATCGTAGAAAATGAATTTACGAGAAGAGAGAGAAAGAGAGGGAGAAACAGAGAATGAGAAACAGAGAATACTGGCAACCCGACGAAACCGATTTAATTGAGCTAAATGCGCGCGAACGCGCTTAATGGCGGCGGACTTTGCGTTCGTTCGAGCGGACAAGGTAATCGATAAAATGTAATAAATATAATTACACGAGCGTGGGGGAGGAAATGTTGGAAGAATAAAGAGAGAGAGAAAGAGAGAAGGGTATGGAGAGCAAGAGCTTCCATCCATGCAGTTCGTTTTTTTATACCGACCAGTCGCCATTGCGTTGAAACGTGTATGGGTGTGAGTTACTTTAACTCTTTATTTCAAATTACTAGTTTGAATGTGAAATATGAACACATACACATACACAAATATATATTTAAAGGGTTAGTCTCCTAACATGACGACTTCAAATAACTCGAAAATTATTTTTTATACGAGCAAATATTTCAAATAAAAGTTCCATGTTATCTAAGGAATGACATACATTGCTCTAATTATTTTATTAGCTTACTTTATTATTAAATGTAATGTCTAATATTTTTCTTCGAATTCCTATAAATTATCAAATTTGTCGTAAAAAAAGTATTATACTTTTAATACTTAACTCTATTAAGAACTCTCTTCTTAAAATGATTAATTACCGATATATGTTCAAATTAATAATTTTCTATTGAGAAATACGTTTAATCAACGTGATTCTTAACACAACTTTGTTTACGATGACAGGAGGTCATGACTGTAAACATATTCTCTGTTAGATGTTAGAAATAATCAACATGTGAACTGTCTAGTTTGTATCTTATAAGTATCCGATATAACATAATAAATTGCTATACTTTTGAAATTTTATCCAGTTGTAGGAGTCGTTTAAAACAATACCGTATAAGTGATAAGGAGTATAAGTGATATAACTCAACCATTTTCAAGACATCGAAAGGAGAAAAAGATATTAGATATTTAATTTTAAAAACTGTATGAAGATCACTTCTACATCATAATAAAAAAGTAAAGTATGCCCCCCCCCTCCTCTAGATATCATGCACAATTTTTATTTGAAACATTTTTTCGTACAACGAATAACTTACGAGTATCATATTTGATTTCTTCATGTTAGGTGACTTATTCTGTATAAAAGATAGAAATAAATAAATAATTAAATGCATCAATAATAAGAAAATGAAATTTTTCTTATTTTGTCGCGTTTGTTCGTTATAGGATGGATGGTCCAGCGGTGTTGTCGATGCCACCGTTGACCGGAAGTCAAAAGTCGACAGCACAATCATCTCAATCGCAATCTCATTCTAAGCCGAATCAAGTAAGAAAAATTATATTCCGAACGATGAGTTTTGATCGCTTTTGGACCACGTGGTACATCTAAAACAATAGGAGTTACAGGTTGGTACGGTATCGCTTTATGGGATTCACATCGTTTCGTTGGTCATCGAAGGACAAGAAAGACTTTGCCTCGCGCAAATAAGTAATACCTTGTTGAAGCAATTCAGCTATAACGAAATTCATAATCGTCGAGTTGCATTGGGTATTACTTGCGTGCAATGTACACCAGTTCAATTAGAGATACTTCGGCGTGCCGGTGCAATGCCAGTGTCCTCGAGAAGATGCGGAATGATTACTCGAAGAGAAGCTGAAAGGCTTTGTAAATCTTTTCTTGGCGATAATGCTCCTCCTAGGTAAGTATCTCTTTTAATACATTTAATTGTTATTTATGCGTTTATTTTCTCCTTTGATCTGAATTTAGAAGAGAAATGTAGAAAAGAGAAAAAAGTGTTGGGATTGATCGCAGGTTACCAGAAGATTTTGCATTCTCCGTTCACCACGAGTGTGCCTGGGGTTGCCGGGGTGCTTTCTTACCAGCACGTTATAACAGTTCCAGAGCTAAATGTATCAAATGTGCTTATTGTGGTTTATTCTTTTCGCCGAACAAATTCATCTTCCATTCGCATAGAATCGGCCCGTCGGACAAATACGTACAACCAGACGCGGCCAATTTTAATTCATGGCGACGGCATATGAAACTTTCCGGTAATCCACCGGACGAGGTGGTACATGCTTGGGAAGATGTTAAAGCCATGTTCAATGGTGGCACGAGAAAGAGATTATTGAGTAATCCGAATTCCCGAGAATCACCTAGTCCAGCTAAACAACCAAGATCATCGCCTACCATGCCGGTTTCTACTCTCGTATCTTCCCCAACTCATCCGAGAGTACCGCCATTCCCGGAATTACCATTACCTTTGTCCAGGAGTCTCGTCATGGATTATGTTTGGCATCAACATCAACAGGCAGCAGCTGTAGCCGTAGCCAAGACTCCAGGATTTGCTTTTCCACCCTATGCTTTACCTTGGCTCGCTAAGAGGAGCCCGGTTCTGTTTCCAGGTAATGACTTGTCGTCATTCCTTTGTCTAATTTCATATAGGTAGGTAGATAACTAGGTGTGTACAGTTTGATTCCTACGTTTGAAATAATGTCAAGTTCAATTTGTTTATTTTCAGTCTTTGTCAATCGATTAAAAACATTGACATTTGATTTTTTCGGTCAGGACCAATGGCACCACCAATAAGTGGTTCCAGCCCAACCGAACCTCCCCTGATACCAACGATGAATCCTCCGTTACATCAATCAGCATTCCGACCAGTGATTCGTGGTCCACCGATCGGTGAACAATCACTTGCTCTTCAAGAAACATCTCAAGATGCTCATTCCAATAGTAAAGAGGAAAACTCCGACGACGAGGTTGACATCGAAACGACGGAAGATGATCCAGCTACTCCGCTTAACGCAACTCTTCACAATCTTCATTCTGCTACTAATTCTAGTATTGGTAATCATGCTACAGGAAGAAATGCATCTCCTCAATGTTGGAGTCCACCTCGGGAAACGGTAAGCCAATTACACTTAGATTTCTTTCAATTTATCTTATTTATCTTTCATCTAATTTTCGTTTGATTGCATAAAAAGGAGATTAACTTTTTTCGGAAGAGAAAAATAATATTTCATTTATCGTATAGAAAATCTATTCACAATGATAGTTTTGATTTTTTTATCAAGTTCCTGAAACAAATCTCTTGAAGGTTAAAATAAAGCATCTCGTTAATCGTGGATACCGTATGCGATTGTGTGATATTTATTTGTGTACTTTAAATGGCACGTGACCCATTGTTACGTTCTCAAGGGAGAAACAGGTTACAAATGGTAGTACACGACACGTTCGTTGCCGGTAAACACTCGACACGCTCTCTCTGTCTCTCTCTCTTATTGAGTTTAGGACCACGCTAGAAATATGTTATAACGTGCTTGGCCGGTTTCGTTTTTGAATGTTTCTCTCTCTCTCTCTCTCTCTCTAACCCTTTCGCGTCAATAAACATGTAATATCGTGGCAAAATAGTGCGTGCAAAGTTATATAGGTACAATCGCGTTTCCATCAACTAACACGCAATTTTAAAGGGATCAAAGGGATGTCCTCCGATCTGTCCAACTTTTCTAATTTTCATTTTTGTCAAACGTTCCAAAGACTATTTATGGTGAAGCATACGTAGAATGAGATCGTAGAATGATCGTCGATCTTTAATCATTCGATAGTGAATAAAAAGAGCACCATGTTTCAGTAGACTTTAATAACGGAGTATATTTACGTTGTAAATGAAGCGATAGAACACTCCACCCAACTCATGAGAGAGAAAGAGAGAGAGAGAGAGATATCCCACGCTCCCCTGTAAACGAAAACGAGCGACGTCTTCGCGTAACCTGATCCGGACAAACGGTTTTAGTCGTAGAGTTAATCGAATTGCTTTTCTCCAACATTACTTACAAAATGAGTTCTCCGTGTTTTTTTTTCTACGGGAAAAAAAAGAATAGATAGGGAGAGAAAGAGAAAAAAAAAATAAAGAAAAGAGAGAAAATTATTTAACTTGAGACCCATCGTAAGTAAATAAATTTAAAAAAGTAATATTATTATTATCATTATTCCATCTATTTTTATTGAATTTTTGGTTGATTACCGAAATGGATTTTTATTTTCTATCAGCGTAAACTCAATAAATAGGATTCTTATAGGTAGCTAATAAAAATTACGAGAATGCATTTTTAAAAAAAATAATAATCATTGGAATTGACTCGATAGGATATAAGGATTATCAAGAAAATCGATGATTTGACGTTGCCATAGGCTCGATAGAGAAACGAAGGGTTATAGGTAGATACGATAGGTAGGTAATAGAAGGGGTGAGGATGTCTACCCGTGTAATACTACTCGACGTCCCTAGAATTTGCTCTGCGGTCTGACTGCTCGTACGGCAGCCCTCGTCAATCGCGATAATTATTGTGTCAGTAAATACTCCGTAACCATTACAAACTCAACGGCTCGTGCGATGCCGATTGGTGGGATCCGTAATAGACTCACCTAGATGATATATATACATTTCTACTAGAATGATATAATTAAATGAACAATATTATTTTCATTCAACCAATCATAATGATAAAATTCATTTTTATATACCTATTTTATTATACTGTATATTTTAAGTTAAATATATCTGTCCATTAATTTAATATTATTTTTTTAAATTATAACGTTTTCTATTTATATAAATATTTTTTTTAAACAGCAAATAGATAATGATACTAAAGAAAATCCTCTTTCATCGATCCATAACATGAGTTTTGCATGACAAAATCCTACAATTGCATGCGATAACGATCTTCAAACACGTAGGAGACATACTAGCAGACTCGTTATCATTAAATGCCATCTAAAAAGTCTCCTCTTATATAGAGTAACTCTTAATAATTAATGAAAATACTTAGTAATCGTTTATAAATATTTAAATTCAAATTGAATAAAGCTATTCCATAGAAACCCTTTAAGAATCTTTATAATTGTTTATCCATTAAACGTATACGCACACGGGATAACAAAGTAAAGGATTAAAAGTGGATAAAAAAAAATATCAACAAAGACATGCAGATATTAGCGAGAAAAAAAGGGAAAAAGGAAGGAAGAAATAAAGATAATGATGAAGAGAGAGAAAAAGAGAGAGAAAGGAAGGTCCGGTGCAAGATAAAAGAGAGAAAAGAACATAGGAAACGGGAAAAGCGGATCGACCTTGCGAGTGAAGGGATGTTGAAAGAAAGAGAGATAGAGAGAGATAGGCTTGGATAAGCCATCCGGATTGCCAGATAGCTTTTCAATTCCCCCTTGTCGTCGGTGAACGTGTCGAGTGGAGTACAGAGCTGCCGTGTATTTTGTGCAGAGATTCACAGCCCTTCTCTACTATCTTTCTCTCTCTCTCTAACTCACTTTAACTCAGTCAGTCAGTAGCTATGTCGAAGATGGTTAACGCGTGTAGTACCATCTCTACACTACACAGCTCTATATCCTTGTCACAAAGCTATCCACAAACAGAGACGGACGGATAGACACGGTATGTACAAGTAGTAGCGAAAACCCAGTTACTCAGACCTACCATATACACCGATGTATATATATATATATATATATATATTGGTAGATAGATAGATAGAGAGAGAGAGAGAGAGAGAGAGAGGCCATGTTAGTAGGACCGCAACTCGGATGTTGCGGTAACTAAGTAATCCCCGAACGTTATTTGCAGTTATTTCTCGCTCCGCTGGACCGACTGAGAAGCACGCGCGCGCGCACGCAAGAGAAAGAGAAAGAGAAAGAGAGAGAGAGGATTCCGAACGTTTTCATTTTCGGGACATCTGTGAAAGCAACTTTTATCTGTACCCCTATATATATACGTTTCTTTTTTTTTAATTTTATTTTTTGATCTATTTTTTCTCTTAATAAAAGAAAGGAAAAAAAAAACAAAAAGAAAGTTAATCTTGACGTTTAGGACGATTTTTACAATCTTTTCGAGAAGACGAAAAAGGTTTCCCAAATGCATGAGATTTCATTCCTACGTTCTCTTTCTATCTATCTATCTATCTATCTATCTATCTTATTCTTTCTTTTAGTAGATAAAGGTACATTCACGAGATCGGACATTCATTTAAATGCAATTAAGCAACGTCACGTAGAGAATCGGGAGATGGTTAGTGGGGTAGCTTCGGAAAACGTTTAAATCAAAGTACGACTCGTTTTAGTTAGCTCAGACCGCAACTTTTAATTGCGCTTCGACCGTCTGGAGAGTCATTAGCTTTCCTAAAGAGACCTTCTGCGTTTTCTCCCTCTTTACTGGGAAAACCCTCCTACCATCCCAATTCCTCACTTCCTTTCCTCTTTTATCTACTTTTTTAACACATCGTTTGATCCATTCCCGTATAAAAAGGATTTTCAAGAATCTACGACTTTTCTGAACGCGTGTAGAAAAAAAATAGATATACCTATGAACGAATAAAATCACTTTTTGAGAATGTATACCAAATTTTTTATTCAATCAGGTATATTCTAAAATTATTAATATCAGAAAAAAAAATGACCTTTGATTGAAACTAGTAAAACTTCAAAAAAAATTGTATAAATAAGATTCTCGTATGCATCCGAATAATGTATCTTCATACGCATAAATAACATATCTCTTTCCTTCTTTTTCTTCTACTCCTTTTTTTTCTCTTTTCAAAGAATCGTTAAATAAAGACGTGCATCTGGCATTTTTTGAAGAGTCGTTGAACAAAGCTGAAGTTTCTTACTTGGAAATGCCACTAGTTGACCTTTTATCCGGAGATACGAAGGGAGAAATCCTTCGGGACACTCTGTGATTAAATTGGACTGACATACTAAGTATATATATATATACAATATGTAGTATATATTGTAGTATGGTCTGTGTATGCGTCTCTCTCTCTCTCTCTCTCTCTATTTCTCTCTCTTATGCTCATCAAAAGAGATTCGTTTAACCTCATAACATTTTCAATTCATTTTACAAAGAAATGCAATGTCCTAGAATCATATTTATGATTATGGTCGATATGAAATGTCAACTATTAAGAAAAAAAAATAATAAAGAGAAGAAAAGAGAGAGAGAAAGAGAGAGAAAGAAAGAAAGAAAGAAAAACGAGACGTTTTGTTCGCACCTTATTCAGTTTCAATTTCCATGGGTATTCGTTGTATCGAAATACGAAGRAGAGAGAGAGAGATGAACGATGGCTTTTCACCATGAAAAGCGAGGGCGGTGACTGTTGATTTAATTATTATCGTTAGTCCGGACCAGCTCCGCCCTTCAAGCCCTCAAATCCAATACGAATATCTTCTATTTCTTTTTTTTTATCTTTTATCTTTTTAAGTTTATTGTGAAAGAGGACCACGGATTTGTTATTATTCGTATTAAAGAAGGACTGATGGTGTAATCGAAAGAATTTTCATCTTTTTGTAAATAGATATTAATTAAAAAAATTTGAAACATATGTTCAAATTATTGCAAAAGAAGTTTTCTTATCGTCGATAATTCGAAGAGACCGAATTCTTACAAAACGATATATTGATAGTAATTATTAGAATTTATATAGGAATCGGTGAACGAAAGAAGTAAAAATATAAGTGTATGTAGTAATTACGTTACATATAAGTTAATTCTTACGTGAACATGCAATAAGTTTTTCAAAAAGATTGCTTACGATGTAGAACTCCTTTCATAAATAATAAAAATTTATTTACATCGAAATAGAGTTGATTTTAAGACCGATGTTAATTAGACATTTTTTTATTCATTTTGGTGATTACTACAAGCCCTTCAAATATCAAATCTTTTTTTTTACCACCCTGTATATTATAGAATTATTTATGTAGAGAAAATTACGATAAAGAAGTGTTAGAAAATGTGTTATAGTTATTTATACTATTAAATACATTCTTTTCAATCGGATAAGAAAACTAAATAACGTAATTAAAAGTAAATGTTACGATTTCAATCTATTGCGAC